GCTACCACCGATGTTCGAAACTTGAATAGATAAAAGTTGTAAAAATGGTTACCATTTCTTTTTTCGTTCAACATTTAACATCAGGTGGAATCGTCGGAAAACCGTAGAAAAACATACCGTAGCGCCTTAGCGAATTAAAGATGGTTGCAAGTTTAATTTATTTTATGAACGTCATAATATTACTAGTTAAATATGAATACAAAATTATTATTGCTATTTTGAACATTGTTCAGTTACAACATTAACAACTGGCGAGAGAAATTAACTGTATAGTGTACACAATACATTTAAATATCACAATAGACTCACGACAAATCAAACCAACCCATTTTCATATACAAAAATAGTAATAGTTGTACTAACTTTATTGACAAATTAAATGTGTTACTGTAATTAAAATAAAAGGACGTAAGTAAAGAGAAAATGCGAACTTTCTTTTCAAATGCTAACCTCTGTACGCGATGCAGTCTGCTGACTCTCTGATAAGGACGATAATCGAGTAATTGTGGAAAATCCATCTAAAGTAATGCCGAGTGGATGGTACAAGGAAAATGTTCATTTTTCTTTTGTCGAGTGTGTTCTTAAACACAGAAATGTTCTCCTGCTAGCGCATTCTTTTGAGGGCATTATTATGGCTTCTGCGAGGGAGGTTCGCTTTGGAAAACAAGTATTTATGTCATTCCGAACATACAAGAACACACTGCATTGTTACGAATCACTGAAAAGTAGGTAGATAACTCAAGAAGTTAGTGACGAACAATATAAAAATTAACAACTTGTTATACTGAAAACAATGTCGACTGCATGGTCAAGAATGTGTTCTAGTGAACATTTTGTACTTAATAATTAAAATATTTTATGCAACTCCAATGTGAGTTATTTTTTGACACAGGGTTTAGTTTTATAAACGTATATATATATATATAGGTAGGTACTACACTTATGAATAGCAATATCTGTAAATTTCACCTAAAACATTGCGTTGTTTTAGACAATAAAATGTAAACCATAATTTTTATTCATATTGGGCAAGAATAATATTTAGTAAAATAATCACAAATCTACACATTTTATTATGTTATTTATATATACAGCGGGAACCATTGATATATTATGTACTACATACAGTACATTCTACTCCAATGGCTGGAACACTGAATCAGTGTCGGGTAAATTTGAAACTTACACTATCACATAATTACGTATTTCGTTCTTTATTTACCTACTAATGTCATAGATTAGCAGCAAATATTAAAAAAAATCACAGCAACATGCAATGTGCTGCGCAACAACACATTGATTTAACGTTCAGTCCATTAACTGAACATACAACTAATAGGTATTTTACATTTAATTTATTCGCGTACGTAAATCAGAGAACTAATTTATTATTACTAAATGTAACTCGAAAATGTTTTAAAGATAGTTTAATAAGTAGGTTAATAAAGATGTTGTCAACAAAGAAAGATTAACTTTGATGTCATTTAAGACGTAACCTCAGAACTCAGACCAACGAAGAAAATTAAAACGCTGCGAACATTACGATTGACTGAAAAACAAAGCAAAAACCATGCTCAACTAATTATAAGAACACGCGCTCACATATACACTTATCCATTCTTATTCACTAACAATTAACAATATAGTTTTAGATGCGTATGTGTGCGTCCAGTAGTGAACCTTTACGGACTATAATAAAGAAAGATGCGTGCGTGAGGGCGTCTCAAGAAATTGAGCATGTTTTGAACGTGAAAGCAATATTTTCAATTAGTATTTTTGTCTTAATGTGTAAGCAAATATTATGTATGAAAAAGTTTATATACTTAAGATCTTTACGTCACTATTCTATTCGCAATAGAACATAAATTAATATCAAAGTTATTGTCACTTTATAGTTTAGCAAAATAAGTAAAGGAAAATAATGTACCTATTCAACGGAGCTCATTAAATATTTTCTATATACTCAGGTATAAAATTAGGCTGGCCACATACATACTGAATTCCGTTTCGGGATTTCGTTTTGATATTCTGATTCGGTATTCCGAACGCAGCAAGTCCATATAAAATCTATGACCCGCCATACACGTACGTTATTTTTCCGTACGGAATTTCTCCGATTCGAGATGCCGTATGACCGCCTGTGCGTTCGGGATCCCGAACGGAAAAAAGCCGCTCCGAACGCACGTCTTCCATAGATTTTGTACGAGTCGCAACACACATACGTAAATTCCGTACGGAATGCGCTCAGTGTTCGTCGCACGACCGAAGCGAGTAGGTGTATTTATGTATGTTTTTACATTTAATCTTGTAGGTGTATAGCTTTTCGTAACCTTTCATCTTATTTTATTTAATATTTCGTCGATAGAATTTACATACATAAATATTTAAAAAATATCTCTGAATAGATAGATCTTTTTACATAGTCTTGACTATATTACAAGCTTAGGGTGATAAGGGGATGCACCTAGTAAGAATGATACAGCAACAATGGAATTTGCAATTAGAAAATCGTCGTCATTATTCGCTGGCAGAATGTCTAGACTCAATGGCTAACGTCTTTCAACTGACCCTTGTTATTCCGAACGGAAAAAAAACGTGTGTGTGTGATGTATTCACAGAATCCCGATTCGGGATTCCGAAACGGAATCACAAAACGGAATTCCGTATGTATATGGCCGGCCGTATTCACGGAATCCCGATTCGGGATTCCGAAACGGAATCACGAAACGGAATTCCGTATGTATGTGGCCGGCCTTATAGATTCCGTATGACCGTCTGTGCGTTCGGAATCCCGAACGGAAAAAAGCCGCTCCGAACGCAAGTCTTCCATTGATTTTGTATGAGTCGCAACACACATTCGTAAATTCCGTACGGAATGCACTCAGTCCCTAGTATATATACAGTAATCTATGCGCTCAGTGTTCGTCGCACGACCGAAGCGAGTAGGTGTGTTTATGTACGTTTTTACATTTAATCTTATATTTGTATAGCTTTTCGTAATCTTTCATCTTATTTTGTTTAATAATTCGTCGAAAGGGTTTACAGACATCCATATTTAAAAAAATATCTCTGGATAGATAGATCTTTTTACATAATATTGACTATATTGCAAGCTTAGCGTAATAAGGGGATGTACCCATAACAATGATACAGCAACAATGGAATCGCAATCAGAAAATCGTTGTCATTATTCGCTGGCTGAATGTCTAGATTCAATGGCTAACGTCTCTCAACTGAGCCTTGTTATTCCGAACGGAAATAAACGTATGTGTGTGATGTATTCACGGAATCCTGAATCGGAATTCCGAAACGGAATCCCGAATCAGAATTCTGAAACGACATTCCGTATATACATATGTGGCGGGCCTAAACGAGCCAAAAATACATACCAAAATCTGAAACAGTTGGTTACGTATCCGTCTATTCAAGACCATGCTTTTATTTCATTCGTAATAAATTTACCAAAGTTGTATAGCAACAACTTTGGTAAATTTGGTGGATGTATTGTTTTACATACTTATTTAAATAAGAAAATGTATGCTAAGGTCGTACACGTGTGTTTGTACTAAAATGTACGTTATTTTCAATTAACATTTATTGATCCAGTTTTACAAACTAAATATGGTACGGAATTATCCTGATTGTACTCATCGACTTTACCTTATTTATCTCTTACTAATTAGCTAATTACCTATTGCAATATGGCAGTTCTTTCTAATCTAGCTGTCTACACATTCTAAAGTAAAACTACATTAATAATGTAAATCAATGGATGTTTCACTAACCCTTTGAGCAAATTGCTCTTAATTATGCATGTATATATCACGAAGTTTCCTAATAAAGCCGATAATAAAAAATTTAAAACGATTTTTCATAATTGTTCTGAAACATCAGCAAATTATGATTTCTTATGTGCCTACACGAACACTACATATAAATAAAATTAGATTTTACAAATTTTATCTTGTATATTAACTTATTTTATATTCCCCATGTCACGGGTACGCTGGACTAAAATCCGTAAAAACTAGTTTTATTTAAATCAGCAAATTTGGGATATTTTTATTATTATATGAAATTAGTTTATTGCTGGATCTTTACATTGTGACTGAAAAATACAAAAACAATCTTAACCAGGAAGCCCGGATATTAGAACGTCAAATATAATAAAACTAAAAACTAAATTAAAATATAATAAACAGGTTTAAAGGTCATATTATTTACAACAAACATAAAAAATACTTAAATTCATATATTTAAAATAGATTTATTGCTTCAAAGAATTGGATACCTACGTTCCTATTCCAAGACAAACGCGCGACAATCATTTAAATTTTAAACGCTCAATTGCCCACTTATCTTTACAAAAGAGAAACGAGGTTACCTCACAACATTGAGTTATAATGTGTACATTATAACTCAATGCCTCACAGTCACAACCGAACCGACAAAATTCCGGGTAATTAAAGGGCTCGCGTGTGTTGCACAATTAGGTTACGTCCTTTTACCTAAGTTGTACTTTACAAATATCTAACGTTAAACTTTCGAATCTGAAATGAAAAATTCAATAAGCAAATCCTTTTTTTCGTAATTCATAACATCGTACAAAAAGTCCACACTTCATCCAACTTCATACAAAAAGTGATTTTAAATCATTCGCAGTTTTTGATTTACAAAAAGAAATTGCCGGCTTTCAAAATGTAGAGCGTAAGATTTTGGAATCTCTCACTCTAGATTACGAACACCGCGCTGTGGCGGGACCATCTGTGCCTATTAAATTACAAAAAAATTAAAATCGATTTACAAGTGGCGTATATTACTGATAATTGCGTAAAATGCATACAAAAAAGAACACACCTCCTAATCCCCATTTTTTGATGTAGGCTAAATATAAGAGCTTCGTTGTATAACTTAGAACAAAAAGTGTTTCGCACACTGCAATAAGAATCGCACATCCAAAGACTTGGTCATGGAGGGCTTTCTTCCGTGGCGCAGTGCTCTCAACTGGTGGCCATCCCACTGTAGTAACCTTGCGTGTAGTAAAGCCCCTGCCCGCCATATTGCTCCTGCAGTACCAAGTGACCGTGCATGGTATCGTGGACTTCACTCAATAGTTGACTGTACGGTATTTGAACGTTCGTTTGATCGTCCGACGTGTTAGGATCAGCGTGAGATGGTAAAGAATGGTAGAAGGGCTCCTGATCCTGTTGTTGGTGTTGCTGATCTATTTCTATATTTTTCTGCATTTCTGATTGGTGAACTGATTGACCCTGAAATTGACATTTATATATTATGATTAATTTATTATCTTTTTGATGTGAAATATTTATTGGCGCACCTTGGCAGTAAAACCGACTCGTATGCTCTAAAACTGACTCGCATGAGTTATTCCATATACAGCAAAAGACTCTTAATGTCTTTCGATTTTGGGAAATCTACCTACCCAATTTTTTTTTTTATAGGATAGGGTGATAAACGAGCACACAGTCCACCTGATGGTAAGTGGTTACTGTGACCCATAGACATCTACATCTATCCCCAATAAAGACTAAAGATGCAGATGCGTTGTCACCCGTGAGGACTAAGATGGAATGCCTCTTTGCCAGTAAAAAGTGTCTCCGGTTCTCTACACTCACCATACGAAACACAGCAGCGTTAAGCTGCTATTTTACGCTGGTGTTCTGTGAGAGCGTGATCCTTCCCCGGTCGAGCCGACCCATTCGTGCTACAACTATACTACTAATATAGCTGCAGCATGGCTCTACCACGTAAAAAATACAATGTAATATCATAAGCCTAAGAGAGATAGAAGCGTTGAGAGCTTCCGACATTATGAGGACATATCATCGTCATCATAATTTTAGAGTCACCCATAGTATAATTTGGGTCATCAATGAGGGCTAATAATTTTCTGCTCACCAGATGTCGCTAGTTGACACTGAGGTAAAGTATTTCGTTTCACAATGTCATTTAATTGAGAAGTTGGTTTTTAATAAAAGTTTATCAGTTTCTAGAATATTATATTAATAGTTAATACACAAAACAATAAGCAATGCCGCAGTGGTTAGCTCTTTTATTTTTTTGCACATTTTTAATTTTTTTTAAAATTTTCTGCTTTTATGAATATCTGTGGTTTTATTTATTTATTTTTAATCTAATTAATATAAAATATAGCTAATAGTACTGTACACGCACCTAGTTGCCCAGACTAAGGTCTACCATACAGGGGCCCATACAGCTGTTAGGTTCGACGGACAACTAAAGGTGGGGCTCAAATGCCTTAAGGAAAATGTCCTATCATACTACACAATAGGGAGAAGGCTAGGTAAATAAATAAGACGTACCTGGTTCTGAGGCGAAGAAGGATCACAAGGCTCGTTCAGGTGTTAATTGTCGTGAATGTAAGTAGTGTGTGAGAAGTGTAGATATGTGTAACCTGAATTAGCCCCTTTTAATCGGCAGTAACCCTGACTCCAGCACCGCCACCCTATTGGGTATCACTCCAGCGGCGTCACTCGGTGTCACTCAAAGTCTAGCGTCCATTAGCACAAATCTATAATCTAATATGAACGCTTCTCGCGGGTCACAAAGTTTAGCGGTTTTAACCGACACAGGAAAATATCTCCGAGTTAAATCAAATGGCACAAAGCAACTCATTGACGCGAATTATTATTGTCAAGCACTTCAACCGGCAATCACTATGCAATTACGTAAATTACTTGCCAACGGATTTAGGTTAATCAATCAAATTATTACTGCTTCGTCGTCGCGCGAACGCATTAGGATAAACAAACGGCGTCTATTTTTCTAGACTCAACAAAAACCTCGTCGTTGCATAAATTTGCTAACAAACCGACACTAAAAAGGGAGGTTATACCGGACGACCACGTCGTGCTAGACCGCACTGCTTTTTTTTGACTTCCGCCGCGCCACGCCGTTCAACGGAGATTTCAGACTGACTCGAGGCGCGAGACGTCTCGGCCCACCATCCCGTTAATCGACACATCAGGTGACCGGGCGAGAGCGGGGGGAACGCACGCGGGGAGGAGAGGCCCGACAGCAATCCCTGTTGCCATCAGACGTTAGCGCTCGTAATGCAGTTTTAAACATTTAGCATTTGGCGCAAACAAGTACAGAAAGAGACAATAACCTTTACATTTTTCGAACAAATTAACTTCTCCGCTATGAAATCTGTCAAATATTATACCTCACTTTCTAGTGGCGCTGCCCTGGTGGCAGAAAAAGTCGTGGATGCCCTCATTTAAAGCAAAGCGTTATCAAGTATTGCTATGCGCTAGCCGCGTAAGAGAATGCTACACCCTTTTCCGTTCCGTTGATATCTTAAGAAGCTACTATAGAAATTGCCAAGTCATCTAATGGCTTCCAGATGCCCTAGTTCAATAATTATTACATTACTTATATACAAAGTTATCCGTGTAGAGGCTGTGTAAGAGGCGACAGAGGGAGCTACAATAGAAATTGCCAAGTCATCTAATGGCTTCCGGATGCCCTAGTTCAATAATTATTACATTACTTATATACAAAGTTATCCGTGTAGAGGCTGTGTAAGAGGCGACAGAGGGTAACTCATCAGGAGATGGACAGCAACGTCTTCGTAATAAATAGCAACTATGACAAATCCCCGCTAAGAGGCAATCTATGGGGAGAATTATGTTCAAAAGTGACTTTAATAGGCTACAACAATAACAGTAACGGTAAGCACAAAAACTGAACGCGACAAACCTGAAGCTGATATTTACACCGCTTAAATCTGCCGTACAGGGAGGAGTACGGCAAGTTGTAATGTATTGCCGCCTGGTTGATGGACATTTGGCCGACCCTGAAAATGTAGAAATTGAAATTTAACGATTATTTAATACCTATTAATTGAGACCTTCTTCCTTACCTGATCTTCTTCCAACTTAAAAATTTCGTGCAAAATTTCCGTAATGACTAATTTAGAAGATGTTTTCTTCCGCGCACAACTTCCTTGTGGAATCGATTACCACCAGCGATTTTTTCGGACCGAAATGACTTCGAGACCTTTAAGAAAAGAGCCTACTCCTTTTTAAAAGGCCGGCAACGCATCTGCGATTCCCTTGGTTCCCCTGGTGTTTTAGTTGTTCATGGGCGGCAGTAGTCACTTACCATCAGGTGAGCCGCATGCTCGTTTGCCCCCTCTCCTATATAAAAAAAAATAGACTAGCCTAATAGCTGTTTCGACAAAAGGATCTAGTCACTGGTACAATTTTTATTTCAAACCAATTTCCAGTATACCTAATTGTAAGTGACTACAGCAGGCATAGACCTGTAACCAACATCAAACAAGAAAGAAAAGAGATGGGACGCATCTCAAGGTGACGACCTTTGAGGGCTATGAAAGAATGCTATGCTATCTAATAGCAATCGGCGAACAACGACTACTATGACTTGATCAGTAGACTGGACCTCATATACACCACAAGACGGCATCAGTAACATTAAAATGTGGTGGATGCTTCCAAGTTATAACAAAGAGGCAATATTTAACATGTTCTAATTACGATGAAAGTTACGATCTATATTGCGCAAATGTTAGTTCTAAGCATGTGCGCAAAAAGAAATGGATTTGTCAAACTTGCCGTAGTAACATGCCTAAAACCATAAACATAAACACCCCCATACGCGACCTGAAATTAAACGCATGTCCAGGCTAACTATACCTAGTCAGGTCATAAATTCTGTCACATGTTTAATATAAAATAATTGAAACAAGTTTATTCATTATGTGCAACGCAATAATTGCAACACGGTCTTCTTTAAGCGTGCACTCCATATTTAAAAATGAGTAAAATTCTAAAAAGTATACAGTTTTATTTTCATGAACAATTCGAAATTTGAATTCAATAAACTTTTTTGTGGCCAGCATTCTAAAAGAAAAGTTTTTACTGTGTGACAATACTTATGACCTGACTAGGTATATATATACCTTATACCTAGTCAGGTCATAAATTCTGTCACATGTTTAATATAAAATAATTGAAACAAGTTTATTCATTATGTAACCATTTATATACCAAAATGAACTTAACAAAACATAGATTCTTATGACACTAAAGTTTATTTAAAATGACCTCCGTGAATTTGAATACAGGCCTTCAATCTGCGCGGCCAGTCGTCTATCGCAGCACGAACGAGGTCCATGTCAATATCGGCGGCTGCCTTAATCAAGGATGTCTTGAGTGACTCCAAATTGGGATGAGGGTTTGAGCACGCCTTTTCCTCCAAGTGTTGCCATATATGGTAATCTAACGGATTCAAATCTGGACCGGAGGAGGGCCAGTCTTCGTGCCGGATGAAGTCGATTTCACGCGCCGCCAGCCAGTCTTGTGTGCTCTTCGCTCTATGAGCTGGCACCGAATCTTGTTGGAATACCCAGTGCCTGTTATTGAACATGTTATGAGAAACAGGTTCCACAAGGTTCGTCAGGACTGTATTTTGATACACAACTGCATTCGTTTTTACACCTTTCTCACAAAAATGTACCTCTGTTAAGCCCCAATAAGAAACTCCCAACCATACCATGAGCGAGGATGGAAAATGACCTAGTTGGACACGCGGAATACGGTTGCTCGCTTCTTCACTACTGTGTGCGTACACCTTATCATTTTATTTGTTGTAGCTCTCTTCTACGGTAAAAAATTTTTCATCCGAAAAAAGAATTTCCCAATATTTTTTCCCGCGTACCGCTTCAACAAAGCGCGGCATCTCTTCAGTCTCAGGTCCATTAGACGAGCATTCAAACGATGTCCTGTTTTTCTTCGATATGCCCGAAGCCCTAAGTCTTCATTTAACACCATTTTGACCGTGGTTCTGCTTACCCCATCTGAAGGGCCAACAGTTTCTTCTTACGTTTGGGATTTCTTTGAATTCGCGCCTTCACAGCTTTTATCACTGCTGGAGTCCTAACAGACCGAGGGCGACCACTTCTTGACCTGTCATCTACACTAGAGTCTTCATTGTATCGTTTGATGGTACGATAAACGAATCTTTTGGTTATATACAAATTTTTCAGTATGTCAAAAATTGGAATTGGCGCGTAACCGCAACGATGCAACGCAATAATTGCAACACGGTCTTCTTTAAGCGTGCACTCCATATTTAAAAATGAGTAAAATTCTAAAAAGTATACAGTTTTATTTTCATGAACAATTCGAAATTCGCATTCTAAAAGAAAAGTTTTTACTGTGTGACAATACTTATGACCTGACTAGGTATATATCTATATATATATATATATATATATATATATATATATCCTATATCTCCTAGCCTAACCAACATTACTCTGATAACAAAACGTACCTCCAATGCAAATGATAGCATCTGCAGAGACGACTCTGATTCGAGCGTGATCGAAGACACTACGGGACTGCTCACTATACATGCAGCAGACTAGTATTGGAACTGATATGCTGACAGAAAAGTTAGTTAACCCTTTCATTTTACAACGTTGGGAGGAAATACTGGATAAAAAATTAGACACATTAAAGATACAAATAGTCACTGAGCTAAAAGAATCAATTATAACTGAAATTAAAAATATTGCTTCGAAAACTGTTACAAAGGAAACGCAAGTGATACCACAAAACATTGAGGGTAAAAAATTAACACAAAAAATAACTGAAAATATTGAAAGCCTAGACAAAATAAGTAAGAAACTAGAAACAGAAATAAAAGACATAAGATATTGTTAGATCATCAGTAAAGTGGATGGAGAGTAGTGGACTGTATTTGGTATTTTAACTGGCGGTGTGAGGTTAGCTATACTAGGGGACTGCTCGAAGAAAAGATGGTACTTTTAATTATACTATATTCACTATTTACAAGGGTTCGGCACTATTAACTAAATCACTATACAAAAGGGAGGTCTTCAGTATGGAGTCTTCTGTCTTGATTCTTCCTTGCCGCTTCCGATTGAATGCTTCTGAATGATCCGAATGAACCCGAATGAACAACGACCGTCCGAGGCGCCCTTCTTATATTTCCGAGAAGAGCGCTTCATTTCGTCGGGTTAGCCGCCCGATGGCAATTTTCGCCGCACGCGCGCTGATTGGTTGCCCGATATCGCGTGATCAGCGCCGGCGTGCGGGGTGCGCGGGACGTAACGGGGAACGAAGGGGCGACGGGGCGGCGGGTCTCTCGCTGTCCGTAACATTCTCCCCCCGGCGTAGCCTTGCGAGCCTAGGCTGCACTCGGGAGGACGGCGATCCTCCTGACCGGCCGCCGCAGCAATCCGCCCCTGGTCCTCACTTCAACGTTCCGTACCACGCCGTCTGGTCCGGGAAAGGTCCTCGTTATAACTCCTCTTGGCCACACGTTCCGCGGCATGGTTCCGTCTGCCACCACGACGAGGTCTCCTTCTTGTACCGGGTGCTGCTGCACGTCCCTTGAGTCTCCGCGCGCAACCAGCGTCGGCAGGTATTCCTTCACCCAGCGCTTCCAGTACTCGTCGGCAAGTCCCTGCGCCGCTCTCCACGCCCGACGATCATTAGGCGTGCACGGCGCGGTCACTGGAAGGCTCGATGGTCCCAGCAGCAAGAAGTGGTTGGGTGTCAATGCCTCTTCTTCGTCGATGTCGACCGGTACGTGCGTCAACGGTCGAGAGTTAACGGTGTTTTCGGCTTCTGTGAGGAGCGTCGCTAATGTCTCCTCCCGTGGGCTCTTCTGATTGAGTGTGGCTTCGAGCGCGGTCTTCACCGAGCGCACGAGACGCTCCCATGCGCCTCCCTGGTTCGGCGCACCCGGCGCGATGAACTTCCAATCCGTCCGCCGAGTCAACGCGTAGTCCTTCAGCAGGGGTGCCCACTCTTCCATCGCCCGTCGTAATTCGGTGTCCGCCCCATGAAAGTTGGTCCCGTTATCCGAGTAGATGACCCGTGGCCACCCACGCCTAGCCGCCATGCGCCGCAATGCCGATATCGCCGAGTCCGTCGTTAGGGAATAAACTATCTCTAAATGTACCGCGCGCGTCGTCAAACAAGTGAATAACGCTATCCACCGTTTTTCATGCCTACGTCCTATTGTTACCGTTATAGGCCCGAAATAGTCGATTCCGGTGTAGGTGAATGGTCGCGCGAATGCCCCTAACCGTTCAGGTGGTAGATCTCCGATAACCGCTGGCCGTGGTGTCGCCTTGCGTACCCTGCACCGCAGACATCTCCGCTCCACTTCTCGTACGGTCGGTCGTAGTCGAAGTATGTGATATCTCGTGCGTAGGTCGTTCACTACCCGTTCCCTGTTGGCGTGGCTTGCTTCCTTATGCGCCTTCTCCACAAGCAGCTTTACAAACTGGTGGCGTCCGTTCAGGATGATGGGCCTCTTCATTTGGCTGTCCACATTGGCTGCGTCAATCCGTCCTCTAGCTCGCAGTACGCCATCTTCGAATATGGGGTCGAGCTTCCTTAACGCGCTGCCGGTTGCCAAGTTCCTTCCTTTCTGCAGTCGACTGATGTCTTCAGCAAAACTCTCTTGTTGACTTCGCTCTATCCACATCCGCTCTGCTTTATGGATGTGGTCCAATGTTAGTCCGTGCGCCTTTCCTCTCATGGCATCGACGAACTGTAATATCCGAGCGGTGGCCCTGACCAATCTCTCGTAAGAAGAGAACCTCTCGATGTCTGGCAGGTGTGGAGCGCCCCTGGTGTCGCTCTGGTGCGCCACGACTTCCTCCAGCTCGTCATCTTCATCCCCTGCCTTCTCTTCCCGTCGTCGAGGCCATCGATCTTCCTCTTCGTACAGGAATGGCGGTCCCGTAAACCATTTGTCGCTCTCTTCCTTGTACGTGTAATTAATGCGCGT